GCCCGCCAGCAGACAGTGTTTCCATGCCTTTCATGGCTGCTCTCACAGTGTTAACACCAGCACTTAACAAGCCCAGAGCCAATCAAACTCTCCGGCCTCGCCCAGCCGGTGTGGGTCAGTGGGTAGAGCGTCGGCCAGCAGACCAAAGGGTCCCGGGTCCGATTCCGGTCAAGGGCACGCACCTCGGTTGGTTGCAGGCTCCTCCCCGGCCCAGGCCCTGGTCAGGGCGCGTGCAGGAGGCAACTCATCGAGGGGTTTCTCTCTCCCTTCCACTCTCTCTAAAAGATCAATGGGAAAATATCCTCGGTGAGGATTAAAAAATCCTAATAATTAAGAAATCCCCATCCTCCGCCCGGAAAACACGAAGGCGTGAGACGCTGTGACTCAGGCCTGCGTCTTGCTGTCACCTTTGCTTCCCGTTTCACTCGGCGTCTGCGGACCCCGGCGTGTGCCTCGCCCGCGGTGGCGGCGATGTGGGCTCCGCGGTGACCTCCCGTCCAAGAACTAGCCACGGGTCCTGGTGCCCACGGGCAAGGCTTTCTCAGGATGGAACCCATTTGTGAAAATGCTGGGCCGGGGGGGGGGTTGCTTCTAAATGAGTGTTGACTTATGTTTATGCCCGGAAACCATGGCCGCCCCCCAGCGCCGCCCGCCCCTCTCCCAGGCAGCCAGGGATCTGCTTTCGGCCCCTACTTTCCAGAATTTTAGATAAATGGGGTCCGACAGAACATGCTTTTTTAAATCCGGGTTCTTTCACTCACTGTCTTTTGAGATCCGTCAGCGTTGCTGGAGTGCACAGCTCCTCCTTCTTCGTCGCTCGGTCGGTTCCGCTGCATGTCCCCCCCCCCCCCCACACACACACACACTGCAGGACTGTGCACGTCTGTCACCGCCAACGCTGGAATGTTGGGTTGCTCTCCTGTTCCAGGCTCTTAGACACGTCGCTGCCGAGAGCCAGTCGCTAGAGGGCCCCCTGCTGTGTCTCCAGCAGAGAAACCCCGAGGGCTCGTCCTGGGGCCGCTGCCAACGTCTCTTTTCTAAAGTGACAGGGACGCGGTCAGTCCTTCTCACGTCAGGCGTCCAGTGGGTGTGCCATGCTCTCTCATCAGGGTTTTTAAAAAGTAACATTTTAAAAATATACTTTTATTGATGTCAGAGAGGAAGGGAGAGGGAGAGAGAGAAACATCAACAATGAGAATCATGGATCGGCTCCTCCTGCACGCCCCCCACTGGGGATGTGACCACAACCAGGTATGTGCCCTTGACTGGAATCGAACCCAGGACCTTTCAGTCCACAGGCCGACGCTCTATCCACTGAGCCACACCAGCCAGGGCCATTGGTGGCTTTTTTGTCTGTGCCCTGACCGGGGATCGAACCTGCAACCCGGGCGTGTTGGGACGACGCTCGAACCACCTGAGCGGCCTGGTCAAGGCCTCCACATCAACGTTAGACTCAGCTTGTCAATTTCTAAAAAAACCCAAACCTGCTGGGATTTCGACTGAGTTGCATTGAAGCTATATTCGATTTGGGAGAATATCTTGACCATACTGAGTTTTCTGACCCATGAACAAGGTCTCGGTCTCTCCACTGATTTGATTTTTCCCCCCTTTTTAAAGTTAAATTTTTGGGGTGACATTGGTTAGTATGATCACACATTTGGGGTGTGGGCCCCCTTATCTAATTGAGGTGTTTGATATCCCTCTGCAATGCTCTGTCCTCGGTGCTCAAGTCTTGCACAGTTTTTGTCAGATTGTTCCTAAGTACTTCATATTTTTGATGCTCTTTAAAAAGGACCTTTTAAATGTCAGTTTCTGATTGTTCGCTGTTGCAATGTAGTACAATGGCCTTTTGTATCTTGATCTTGTGTCCCACAATCTCGCTAACCTCATTTAGCAGGTCTACCAGCTTTTTTGTAGAATCCGTTAGGTTTTTCTACACAGATGATCATGTCCTTGGTGAATAAAGACAAATTACTTCTTCCTTTCCAAGATGGAAGCATTTTATTATTATTACTAGAGGCCTGGTGCACAAAATTCGTGTAGGGGTGGGGGGTCCCTCAGCCCAGCCTGCACCCTCTCATAATCTGGGACCCCTTGGGGGATGTCCACCTGCCAGCTTAGGCCCGATGTCCCCAGGGATCGGGCCTAAGCCAGCAGCCAGACATCCCTCTCGCAATCCGGGATCCCTTGCTCCTTACCGCCCGCCTGCTCGCTCCTTACCACGTGGCTCACTGCTCCTTAGCACTGTCGCGGAGGCAGGAGAGGCTCCCGCACTGCTGCTGCGCTCGCCAGCCGTGAACCCAGCTTCTGGCTGAGCAGTGCTCTTCCCATGGGAGTGCACTGACCACCAGGAGGCAGCTACTGTGTTGAGCATCTGCCCCCTGGTGGTCACTGTGCAGCATAGCAACCAGTCATCGTGGTTGTTCCGCTGTAACAGTTGCTTAGGCAGACACCCCTCTCACAATTTGGGACCACTGGCTCCTAGCCACTCACCTGCCTGCCTGATCGCCCTTAACCTCTCTGCCTTCCTGGTCACCCCTAACTGCCTCTGCCTGCCTGATTGCCCCTAACTGCCTCTGCCTGCCTGTCTGATCACCCCTAACTGCCCTCCCTTGCTGTCCTGATCTTGCCCCCAACTGCCCTTCCCTGCTAGCCTGGTTGCCCCCAATTGCCCTTCCCTGCCGGCCTGATCTCGCCCCTAACTGCTCTCCCCTGCTGGCTTGATTGCCCCTAACTGCCTTTGCCTGCATGATCCCCCTAACTGCCCTCCTCTGCAGGCCAATTTGGTTCTGATTGGTCAGTTTCTATGCCAGTCAGCATCAAAAGCTCCGCCTCCTAGGCAGCCATTGGCTCCTCACAGTTGACCCAGATTTGGTTCTGATTGGTCAGTTCCTATGCCAGTCAGCGTCTCTGGGCCTATCAATGGGGCCTGATCAGAAAGGCGGGGCTGATCAGCAGCTGGAGTGGAGGCCTGGAGAGAAATGGCTGTTGGCCAGGCCGGGAGAGAAAGAGGCAAGTTCTGATCAACGGCTGCCCCAGAGGCTACGGATGAGACCCTGCCTCTCTCTGCAGGCCTCTCTCCGGGCCTGACCCACAGCCCCCTAGGCAGTCAGTGCTGGGTCGGGGCAGTCAGTGCTGGGTGACCACGGCAACCCAGGACTGACTTCTGGTCTGGTGGAGCCTTTGGTTTTAATCGGTCATTATGACCCTGGCTCTTTATATAGATTACTTTTTACCCTATGGACACTGGCTATAACTTCTGATACAATGTTTCCCTTTCTGTGACCCTCGGGTCTTTCATCATTAAAGATGCTATTGGCTGTAGGTTTTTTCATAGATGCCCTTTATCAAGTTAGTTCCCTTCTCTTCAATTTTCTGGGAAGTTTGTGTAGAATTGGTACTATTTTTTCCTTATGAATTTGGTAGAATTCCCCAGTGAAATCATCTGGGCCTGGTGCTTGTTTTGTGGGAAGGATTTTAAACGACAAATTCAACTTCTGTCATAGATACAGGGCTGTTCAGGTCGCCCGTGTCTTCCTGGGTGAGATCTGGTCGTCTTTGTTTTGTAAGAAATGTGTCTCTTTCATCTCAGTTGTCGAGTTTATTGATGGGAAGTTGTCCGTAATATTCCGTTTATCTTTACCACCTGTGCTGCTGTCTCGCCCCTCCTTCCTGATATTGGTGGTTTTTAACTTCTCTTTTCTGTTTCACTAGGTTTACTAATGTTATTGCCTCAAAACCCAGCTGTCAGTTTCCTTGACTCCCCTCTATTCCTGTTTTGTTTTCCATTTCATTGATTCCTGCTCTGATCTTCCTTATCCCCATTCTTCTTACTTTGAGCTTTCTCTTCTTTTTCTCGTTTCTTAAGGTAGCAGCTGAGGTCAATCCTTCAAGACCTCCTTTCTCCTTTTCTAACAAAGGCACTTAATGCTACGAATTTCTCCCTAAGTACTGCTTTAGCTGCATCTCTCAAACTTGAATATCTTAAAATTTTTATTCAGTTTGAAATACTCTCTAATTCCCCCAATTATTTCGAAGCTATTATTTAGTTTCCTAACATTTGGGGAATTTCCAGATTTTTTTCTTTTTTCTTTTTTTCTATTCACTTCTAATTTCATTGTGTCAGACAACACGCTGTCAATGTCTGAATCCTGTCGAGTCTAATTTTATGGCCCAGAATATATGCTGACAAGTGTTCCGTGTGCACTGGAAGAGAACGTGTTCTGCTAACACGGTGGAGTGTTCTGTGATGTCCACGAGGCCAGGCTGCTCGCAGTGTCGTTCAAGACCCCAATACCTCACTGGTTTCACGTCTCTTGGGTCCGATAGGCACTGAGGATGGGGCCCTGCAGCCTGTAATTGTGGGTTTGTCCATCCCCGTGAGTTCTATGGCCTTGGGCTTTGTGTATTGTGAAGCCCTGGGTCATCCGTGTGGACAGGAGCGGGGCCCTTGGCCAGGCTCATGTGGACTCAGTCACCTGGGAAAATGGTCTGGCTGGTCGGTCAGAACCTGGGGGGCAGGACTGCACTGCCTGGAGGGGGTTGCAGGGTGGACGCAGGAAGTTTGTGCTCATGTCCCGAGCCCACATGCACTGGCGGCATCGAGCCACCCACGGCCGAGGACTTGAACCCGGGCACGACCAGGGCAGCCCAGGTGCACGGGCTGACTGCACAGCTCCCTCTCCCAGCCCAGCCCATCAGCCTCCCAGGGGCTCCAGAGACACACCGACCAGCAGCTCAGCGGGAAATTGAGTGCTCCAGGCTCGATGCTGGCCCGGATGCCTCAGTCTACAGTGTGGGTTCCTGCAAAACAGACCCGCTCACAGCGAGGGGTGCAGCATGGGGCCCGGGACCACGGGACGCCTCGCCCAGCAGCAGCCGGCAGCATGGTCTCTTAGGCCGTGGGCGCTACCCTGAGTCGTGGCCTTAGGGGACAGGAACCAGGGAGTGGGAGGTGAGTGGCCCGACACTAGGACCCCCGTGCACACGGGACAGGGGTTTCTTGTCCCTGTGACCTTAGGCCGTGCGGCTCAGCAGCTGAGTGTCAACCCAGGAACCAAGTGGTCACGGTTCGGTTCCCGGTCAGGGCACAGGCCAGGGTTGCGGGCTCGATCCCCAGTGGGGGGCGTGCAGGAAGCAGCCGATCAATGATTCTCTCTCATCATTGATGTTTCTCTCTCTCCCTCCCTCCCTTCCTCTCTCAGATCAAAAACATATAAAAATAAATAAAATAAAAACCAATAAAAACACATTAAAAAAAAACACCTGAAAAAACAACAGTTCTAATTCGAGGAGGAAAACACTGCCGCCCAGGACACAGTGAGGGCGTGTCTCACTCAACTCACAGCGGTGGCTGCCACCGTGGCGGCTCCTGTCCAGGGACCACAGGCCGAGCGGCCGCCACCCTGGCAGAGATGACCCTGACCGCCACGTGGAGGCAGCTGCTGCCCGGGGCACCCAGTGCTGCCATGCCAGCTGTAAGCGGTCACGGAGCAAAGAGCCCGCCAGGGGCGTGGTGAGTGTCCGGTCATGGCCCGCCCTGGGCACAGCAGGTGGACATCTGTGGTGCCTCAGGCCAGCGGCTCCGTGGGGCTGTGGCTGCCCCTCAATCCCCCTCTTGTAAGTTTTCCCAGGAAGAGTCCTGCCGACGCTGGAATTATCGGAATGTGAGGGGCCCGTGGACCTGAGGGGCCAGGGTGCTGGCCACTGGGCTCTTGACCGCATCCTTCCTAGCAGGTCCCCTTGGCGGACAGGGACCGACTTACCTCCAGGCGGGGGGCAGGCGATGGCCAACTGGTACAGGGTCAGGTGACACCCCCTTCGAGTAGTGCCGATCGTGCACCCAGCTAAGGGGCTAAGCAGTGGCGCGTCCCCACCTGGAGGGACAGCCTGGCCCCTGCCCTGCCCCTCACCTTGTCTCCTGCTCGGGGCGGTTCAGTCTGGGTTTCTCCTGCCCGAGATGTGACCCCAGGGCCGCGTCTTGGCCAGAGCCCGGCTCCAAGCCCAGGGCCAGGGTGCCGGGGCCAAGCTCTGAGCCGAGGCCCGCGGCGCCCCCTGCACCCCAACACACACCCGACCCCAGGACAAAAGAGAGGCGAGACCCACAGGAGGTGGAATTGCTTTTATTGGGGTGGGCGCCGCAGGCCCGCCCGTGGTCAGGTTAGTGTTCTGCCCTGAGGCAGCCGGCAGCCTGGCACCTCCCCCACCGCCCACCCGGGTTAGTGGAACATGCAAAGCTGAGTCAGAGGGTGGAGGCAGGGGGGAGCCCCCGAGGCC